TGTCACTTTAGATGAGCTTTTTGAGGAAGTGAGAAAAAGAAAATTATTATTTTATTTTAATATCATTTTATTGTGGTGAATTATTCGTTATTAGTAAAAAAAGCGAAGTAATTTAATGCACAAATGGTAAATTAATTAATTAATAATAACATTAATCGAATACTGTAATGAAAGGTAACAAAACTTTTTTTTCTTAAAATTAATCAAATAACTAAATTAAAAAGGAAAATTTTTTTTGAAAAATAATTTTCACTAGATAACTTCGTAAAAAATGAAAGAAAATTTTCAAACAAATAATTAATACTGAATTTATGGTTCATAAACAAAACACCAATTAAATAACTTGATCAGAAATAACAAAAATTAAGAAAAAAATATATCAACTCAACGTTTAAATGAACGATGGCAAACAAATGAAAAATCAAAAAAATTAAATTTAATTATTTCCCATACAAGCAAGGACAAAAAAAAAACTCGTTTACTACCTTTTCTTTCTTGCAATAATGTTGATGGCTCTCAATAACGAGCTAGTCTCGTACAGTTAATGCAAAAAATGAAGATGCAGAGAGAAAAATAATGAAAACGAGCTTGCAAGCTCGATTGCACGTAACAAGGATTCGTCGCTCGGAGAAGGTCAGGAGAGAGAAAAACGACACGCGATAGCCAGGGATTGGCAGCTCCCTGATCAACGAATGCACCGTACACCTACTTTCTTAATAATCCTGTAATTACAAAGCTCTCTTCTTCGTGAGCTTTTTTTCCACTCCCATTATGGCAAAAGTTCGAGAAATAATTTTCATGGCCAGTCGAAGAGCGGGTTCTTTTTATTTCTCTTGGTCTATTCTGCTCAAATGTTTTGTCGATCTTGACTTTTTTAAAGGGACGAGCTGATTGCGACTCGGCATGACATGCAGGCAAATAAACGTGTACGACAACCGAGTGGATATTGCTTCGCTGCTTTGACACAGTTTTAAGATCGTTTATTCTTATTGTTGTTGGTTGTTGAGTATTTTTTTTTTCCTTCGCGCTAAGTTGGTGGCTCGACCCTTGGAAAATGTTAAACACCCGTGCGGGTAACGAGAAACTTTGCAAAGTTAAAATTAAGACTGTAAATAGGTAATTGAGAAAGTTTCATGCGCCATTTACAGGAATATTTATGACTTATCTACATTGACTTGGGAAATAAGACTCCCTGCTTGTTGATACTTTCTTTGATCTCGTTTCTAGTAATGGTATTTATTTTTAGAAATGGAAAATAGTTAATTACTCATTTCCAACTAATAACTAACCATGCAGTTATCAATCACAAATGTAAATAACCAACAATTTCACACTTATCAACTACAGTTATATTAATTCGTTTTGTATTACCAGCATACTTAAGCGAAGATAAATGAAAATAATAAAAATTTTTGTGCTCTGCACTTCTCAAAATTAATTTATATTTATGGTTCTTGAAAACGAGGTAGTTGAACGAAAGCCAAGATATGAAAACTATTATTTTCTGTTAACCACTTGGCGCAATAGCTCTTTTTTCTTAAAATGTATTTTTTATTTATTGTAAAACGACTAAAAAATGTTTTTTTACCAATGAAGGGAAATCAAGCAAAAACGAGATTTGACAGATTTTAATACAATTTTACATAGTAATACTTTTTAAAACTTTTTAATTGACTTTAAACAAATTTAGATAGACATTCTCATTTAAAATATATTACAGATTGAAAGTTTTAAGTTTGATAGTAATTGACAATAGTTTTTTTTAGCGAAGATAATCATTTTATTTTCATAGTAAAACTTCACACATAAAAAAGAGTATATTGTATAATTTAGTTAATACATTTTAATGGAAATGAAAATGTCAACAGTTAAAATTTACTTAAATAAGATTTAATATACTATAAATGTAAAAAATTAATGTTAATTATCATATTTATATAAAACAGCTTAAAAAAATGAACTTAATTAACCAAAGAACTCGGTTAAAAAAGTCT